GAGAGCTACTTTCGATTTATTTTTAATACTTCCTTCAACATCGGCTTTGGATCTCCTAGCACCGATGTTTGCTCTAAGTGTCTTGAACTCCGGGAAAAAATTAAAAATGAAAAGGTTGCATCTATTAAAACAGTGCTAACTACAGAATACCGAATACATAAGCTCAGGGCCAAAGCATTTTTTGAACAGCTAAAAGAGAAACGGGACGGCCTTCTGACAATTTCTTTTGATTGTCAGAAAAACTTGGTATTGCCCAAAATACCAGATCAAAGTACCTATTATAGTAGACAACTGTACATTTACAACTTCACTACTGTAGTGGGGCACTCACATGCTCCGTTAACAAAAGATAATGTTAAAATTTTCACGTGGACTGAAGATGAACATGCCAAGGGCGCCAACGAAATCGCAAGCTGCGTCTTTTACACTTTAAACAATAGTAACTTAGAGGGAATAGATACACTTCGATTGGTCGCCGATGGATGCGGCGGCCAAAATAAAAATACCATTATGATATGTATGTTGTTCAAATGGCTAAGCAGTATAAGCAGTTCTATTAGAACAATCGAGCTGGTATTCCCAGTGGTTGGGCACTCCTACATTCCACCTGACAGGGTTTTTGCTACTATCGAAAAAGAAATAAGAAAGAAAGAAGAAATTGTAATGCCAGAAGAATACATAAATATTTTTCAAGAACATGCTACTGTTTTTAAACTTGGAAAAGATGTTCCCGATAGTGATTGGAAAGGTGCTGGTCAAAAAATCCTTAAGCCAGTGTCTCAGTGGCATTTTAAATTTAACCAATGTAAGAGATATATTATACGACGTGGCAACAAAAACGCCATCACCATTCGAGGTGAGTTATCTTACCGTTCAGACACCGGAACATTCAAAGGAGTTTTTAGGAAAAACCAAACCGCCATGAATATCCAGCCAAAAGAAATTCCTACCGGAGTGAAACCAAAAGATCTGAAAATGAGAGATGTAAATAACTTGTTAAGCAAACATTATGGAAAGAACTGGAGAGCGGTAGAAAATTTGGCTTATTATAGAGATGTGTTGGGAAAATTTCAGAACAATAATATTCCTGGCGATTCTCGAGAAGACAGTGGGGACGAAGAGCCTAGTTTATGTGAATCAACCGAAAATATACCTGATGTTACAGTTTAAGAGTTTTTTAAGTACAGTTTTTAAATAACATATCTTTCAAAAAATAAAGTTTCCTGTTATTAGCTACAAAGAGATTTGATTCACTTTCAATTCATGCCTAATCCATTTTGTTCAGATTCAAATGAGCCTTAATCCACAGTTTGGTAGCAAACGCAACCAAACACCATTTTTAAATCCACTTTGTGATTTTTATATCTATTTCAAAAGACGTGGTTATAGAATTTTTGAAACTTCAGTAAGTCTTCTAATAACAAATAAATTATGTTTGAATTATTAACGCCAAAATCATCCCAAAATACTTTTTTGCCGTTTTCTCAAAATCGAAAAATTTGGACTTAAGGGTATTTGAAACCAAACAACTCATATGCTCCATTAGTGCCGGGAGAACTTCATGAAACACCCTATCTCAATCCCTTTGTCGTCCAGAATACCTCACTTAACTCTTCCCCCACATTAACTTTGGCAATCGTCCCCCTGTACATCTCCTTCACCCTCCCTATTTGTTGTTCTGTGATACTTCTTCTCCCACAACTTCTCTCTATCCACGTTATCGAATGCAGCCTTCAGGTCAATAAACAACCCATACAGTTTTCTCTCCTTCTTGTTCAACTCCTTATCTACCAGGTGTTTCAGAATGTATACATTATCAATTCCCCCCTCTCCATTTCTTCTTCCAACCTCCCCAGCAGTATTTTTGCATAAATTTTGAAAGTTGTGTCCAACAGGGTGATTCCTCTATAATTGCTCACCACCCTTTTACCTCCCTTTTTATACAGTGGGCATGTTATCCTCTCCCCCATCCATACGTCGTTTATTACCTTCGATAGTTTCTTCATCATCCTCTCCTGGCGCCCTTCCCATCTTCAATCCCCTCAACACTGCCTCCATTTCTTCCAGTGTTATCTCTTCTCCTCCTTGCACCCCTCGTTCTCCCTTTCTCAGTCTTCTCTCTTCCACCCCTCCCAACAATCTCATGAAGTAGGTTCTCTATTCAGGCATTTGTATATCTCTGCTGACTTCCTCTCTTCCCTTCCTCATCCTCTTTAAGTATCTCCATACCTCATTTTCCTCTTTCAACTCCTTAATCTTCTCAGCCTCCCTTTCCTTCAGCTCCCTCTTCTTTTTCTTGTATTCTTCTTTGTATGTTCTCCTGGCCTCTATACAGGGTGATTCATTAGCTCTATGATATGTAGGTTTCCAAATAGACATCAACCTGCCCATACAGTGTTTAGTGCATCATTTCGCAGACTAAGAGAAACAGGTAACCCCGCTCCATCAAAATGTTCAAGCATTACATCCTGGAGATACTGAGCAACGCTTAGCATTTTGCCACTGGATTATTCATCAACATGCTCAAAATAATAACTTCATTTCCCAAGTTCTGTGGTCTGATGAAGCGTGTTTCACTAGGGACGGCATAAATAATTATCATAACGAACATGTGTGGTCCTTGCAAAATCCACATGCAATTAGACCAGGAAGATTTCAGCAACGGTTTAGTGTAAACGTTTGGGGTGACATTTTTAACAATTCAATATGTACAGAAATTTCTTGACAGACATAACCTTTTCGATTTTATCGACGACGTACCACTTAACATCGTTCAAAATATGTGGTATCAGCACGATGGTGCACCACCACATCGAGGAAGAGAAGTCATCGCTTGGTTACATAAACATTTTCCAAACAAATGGATTGGCAATGGAGGTCCAGTAGTCTGGCCACCACGATCCCCAGATCTAAATCCGCTGGATTATTATTTCTGGGGACACATGAAGCAGCTTGTGTACCATGTAGAAATTACTACCCGTCAGCAACTACTGGACAGAATTCAAGATGCAGCTAATAGCATACGGAATGATCCAAATACCATACGTCGTGTGATAGAATCTTTACTTCGTCGATGTGAGGCGTGCATTCAAGCTGAAGGCGGACATTTCGAACAATTTTTGTAATTTTTAAACTTATTTTTTATGTTACATTTTCATTTGCCTATTAAACTGTGTAAAATTTTCAAAGGCTTGTAACTCTTTAACCAAAATGAATCGGACCCATATTCATATAACATTTTTTCCTTAGAATCGGATCACCTTTCATCTGCCGAAGTTTGTCATAAAGCTAATGAATCACCCTGTATATCTATCTATCTCTACCTCCCCTCTCTGCCACTGTCTCAATTTCCTTCTGGCTTCTCTCTTGGCATGTTCCATTATCTTTCTGTTTCTTCTTCCCCTCGATCTCTTTATGCATACTTCTACTTAGAGGCTGATGAGTCCTGCATCTTTTACCAGCTCTTCCAAAGTAATATTAAAAAGCAGACATAAAAAACTATCTTACAAGATTATTATTCCTTCTACCAGATTTAATAGAACAATTAAGTTATTCATTGATACCTAACATACGCTATAAATAACCTTGAGAAATGATTGTTCTTGCAAGAACATTATAAAGTCCTAAACGGAATTAAATGTATCCAAAAATATGCGACTAGTAGTCCGAGTGTCATTCAATAAGCAGGTATTCGGAATTCTACTACGATGAGATGATGTAATAATACTGGTATTGAAATGGTAGTAAACAAAAAACACTCGCTCATTTTTTACAAGATGTTGACACAGAATTGGGAGCAAAGTTCTAAGTTAACTTCGAAGTTAAAAATTAAAATTTGCACGTGATAGCAACATTTTTCACATATTACATCATATTGTATACGACAAATTAAATTTGTAAAAACCTACAAATTTTTCAAACACATAAAGCTTTTGTATCACCAACAATAAGACTCCATTCTTGATTTACTTTAATCGTTTTTTGCGTGAAACGTCATTTAACATCTCTTTTATGATACAATTTTGATTTATTACAAATTTACATCTAATTTAATTATCGAATTATCACATTATTACCATAAAGGTTTAAATTAAATACGCAAAGAATCGTAAATTTCTTTTAAACCCCTTTTATACTATTAATTTTAGTTGGATTTAAATATTTATTTAAAATACAAATAGTAACGTAATAATTGTTCAATAAATAAGGAGGTCAAGTGGTTAAATGATAACGTGTTACGCTTAACTAATATTTAAGAGGTAATTAAACGCAATTTCCCTGTTGTAAAAACTTTACAAACTAATATTTACTGTTTTTTGTGTACATTTTATTGTACTCAATATCGTAAATCTTAAATTATCTATTTAATTAAGACAGGAAGCTCGTCAAATATACAACACAAATATTGCCCAATAAATGTTTCAAATCGAATTTTCTAACAAACATTCGGAAATGGTTCTACCAGGAAAAAACTTTCTAAAGAATTTAATTACACAACAATCAGGAATTAAAACACACTTCTTTTTAATTTCCTGAATCTATATATTATTTAAAATAAATAGTGTGTTAAAACGAAGGAAATTCCAAAAAGTAATCGGTATTCCAACCTTTGGACCTGTTGCTGTTGTTGTCACATGACTCCGGGGAGGGTAAGAGGCAAGGAGAAGGCCCCGCATTTCATTTAAAAGCGTTCTACAAACCCGGCTAGCACGTGACTGTGATACATGACTGGAAAACGTGGTTTTGAACCCGACGGACAGTTTCTGCATCAACCTCCTCCTTCTCTTTCTCTTTCATCAACGGGGCCACCGAGACACCGCGCAAGGTGACCTAAGGTTAAGTTCACGTCTCAAAGACGTCTTTGTTATTTACCGATTCATCGAGTGAGACGTAAATTATGTAATAATAATAATAATAAATCGGTTATTATTAAAAATTAACCTCAAATAATGAGTAATTTAACCTCAAAATTAAAAAAAATTTTTTTTTAGAGAACTTACCCGATGATATCCGAATAAACAATCTTTTGGGGGATCATGTTGATAATCTGCAACAAAATAAGTTTATTTAAAACTTAATTACCAAAAATTAATAAAATAATAATACATTTAGGGGTGCTACAACGAATTGACAGGATGTGGTTTAATCGAAATCTAAAAGATGGCGCTACTCAAAATTAATTTTAATTTGTTATACAGGGTGTAACAAAAGTGTGGAATAAAACTAGTTAATATGTTATTTGTGGTTTAAATGAAAAATGTTATCAGTTACAACAAATTATGTTGCAATTAAGCGAAGAACGAATTGAAATTTTAATGATGTATGAGTATCTCTATATGTATATGCCAAACTACTGGCACTATATTTGTGAATGAAACTTGTTCTAAATTAAAGCTCAAAGCTTTCTCTTTAAAATGATGTATAATAATTATTGGGTTGGATTGAAAAAATATTGAGAAAAATTTTGAAACAAAACTTACATTTTCGTATAACCTAAAAGTGTCAAAAAAGATGCTAATTTAAAAATTCCTGGAAGTCGTATTTATTGAAATTAAGGAATGAGACTTGTTCTAAGTTAAAGCTCAAAGCTTTCTCTTTAAAATGATGTATAATAATTGTTGGGTTGGATTGGAAAAATATTGAGAAAAAAAATGTTGAAACAAAACTTACATTTTCGTATAACCTAAAAGTGTCAAAAAAGATGCTAATTTAAAAATTCCTGGAAGCCGTATTTATTGAAATTAAGGAATGAGACTTATTCTAAATTAAAGCTCAAAGCTTTCTCTTTAAAATGATGTATAATAATTGTTGGGTTGGATTGGAAAAATATTGAGAAAAAAAATGTTGAAACAAAACTTACATTTTCGTATAACCTAAAAGTGTCAAAAAAGATGCTAATTTAAAAATTCCTGGAAGCCGTATTTATTGAAATTAAGGAATGAGACTTATTCTAAATTAAAGCTCAAAGCTTTCTCTTTAAAATGATGTATAATAATTGTTGGGTTGGATTGGAAAAATATTGAGAAAAAAAATGTTGAAACAAAACTTACATTTTCGTATAACCTAAAAGTGTCAAAAAAGATGCTAATTTAAAAATTCCTGGAAGCCGTATTTATTGAAATTAAGGAATGAGACTTATTCTAAATTAAAGCTCAAAGCTTTCTCTTTAAAATGATGTATAATAATTGTTGGGTTGGATTGGAAAAATATTGAGAAAAAAAATGTTGAAACAAAACTTACATTTTCGTATAACCTAAAAGTGTCAAAAAAGATGCTAATTTAAAAATTCCTGGAAGCTGTATTTATTGAAATTAAGGAATGGGACTTGTTCTAAATTAAAGCTCAAAGCTTTCTCTTTACAATGATGTATAATAATTGTTGGGTTGGATTGGAAAAATATTGAGAAAAAAAGTGTTGAAACAAAACCTACATTTTCGTATAACCTAAGTGTCAAAAAAGTTGCTAATTTAAAAATTCCTGGAAGCCGTATTTATTGAAATTAATGAATGAGACTTGTTCTAAATTAAAGCTCGAAGCTTTCTCTTTAAAATGATGTATGATAATTGTTGGGTTGGATTGGAAAAATATTGAGAAAAAAAATGTTGAAACAAAACCTACATTTTCGTATAACCTAAAAGTGTTAAAATAACCTAAAAGTGTCAAAAAAGATGCTAATTTAAAAATTCCTGGAGGCTGTATTTATTGAAATTAAGGAATGAGAGTTGTTCTAAATTAAAGCTCATAGCTTTCTCTTTACAATGATGTTTAATAATTGTTGGGTTGGATTGGAAAAATATTGAGAAAAAAAATATTGAAGCAAAACTTACGTTTTCGTATAACCTAAAAGTGTCAAAAAAGATGCTAATTTAAAAATTCCTGGAAGCCGTATTTATTGAAATTAAGGAATGAGACTTGTTCTAAATTAAAGCTCAAATTCTCTTTAAAATGATGTATAATAATTGTTGGGTTGGATTGGAAAAATATTGAGAAAAAAAATGTTGAAACAAAACTTACATTTTCGTATAACTTGAAAGTGTCAAAAAGATCCTCCTTCTTTTTCTTGCATTCTTCTTTGTAATTTCTCCTGGCCTCTATAGTATCTATATATATAGTATCTATCTATCACTCTTCGCCTCTCTACATTCCCTGCTACTATTATGATTTAATTGATTTAATTTTCAAATGGCGTATTTATTAGCTACTTTTGTTTCACCCTGTATATTAGATTTAATTCGGTTTTTCTGGAAAAAATTAAAATATTATTTACAAGGATAAGAATATTATAAAAAATTTACATTTATTTAGTATATAAAAATAGAAAAAGTAAAAACTTTTTGTGAGAAATAAGTTTATTTCCAATGTTTCTAAATTGTTTTTTATTTTTAACAAAAAGAAAACCTGTATAGAAATAATTTATTTTTTAAGAATATTTGCTAAAAATTTACTTAGATATTCCCAATCTACTTATATTTTTGTATTTTTCCATCATTTTGCATATATTTTAAAGTACTGAAGATGAAACAATCGTTTCGAAACATTACTANTAAATTAAAGCTCAAAGCTTTCTCTTTAAAATGATGTGTAATAATTGTTGGGTTGGATTGGAAAAATATTGAGAAAAAAAATTTTGAAGCAAAACTTACATTTTCGTGTAACCTGAAAGTGTCAAAAAAGTTCTTTTTCTTGCGTTCTTCTTTGTAATTTCTCCTGGCCTCTATAGGATATCTATCCTTCACTCTTCGCCTCTCTACATTCCCTGCTACTATTATGATTCATTGATTTAATTTTCAAATGGCGTATTTACTAGCTATATTATATTCCATACTTTTGTTTCACCCTGTATATTAGATTTAATTCGGTTTTTCTGGAAAAAATTAAAATATTATTTACAAGGATAAGAAAATTATAAAAAATTAACATTTATTTAGTACTTACAAACTTTAAGAGATGGCGCAACTCAAAAAGTTATTAAAAATGCCTTTATTATTATTAAAAATTAAAATCGTTTCAATGTTTTAGATCAAATTCGACGCAATAACTTTTTCACGCTTCGTCAATCAACAAAANTAAATTAAAGCTCAAAGCTTTCTCTTTAAAATGATGTATAATAATTGTTGGGTTGTATTGGAAAAATATTGAGAAAAAAAATGTTGAAACAAAACTTACATTTTCGCATAACCTAAAAGTGTCAAAAAAGATGCTAATTTAAAAATTCCTGGAAGCCGTCTTTATTGAAATTAAGGAATGAGACTTGTTCTAAATTAAAGCTCAAAGCTTTCTCTTTAAAATGATGTATGATTATTGTTGGGTTGGATTGGAAAAATATTGAGAAAAAAAATGTTGAAACAAAACTTACATTTTCGTATAACCTAAAAGTGTCAAAAAAGAAGATATTTAAAAATTCTTGGAAGCCGTATTTATTGAAATTAAGGAATGAGACTTGTTCTAAATTAAAGNTTGAAGCAAAACTTACATTTTCGTGTAACCTGAAAGTGTCAAAAAAGTTCTTTTTCTTGCGTTCTTCTTTGTAATTTCTCCTGGCCTCTATAGGATATCTATCCTTCACTCTTCGCCTCTCTACATTCCCTGCTACTATTATGATTCATTGATTTAATTTTCAAATGGCGTATTTACTAGCTATATTATATTCCATACTTTTGTTTCACCCTGTATATTAGATTTAATTCGGTTTTTCTGGAAAAAATTAAAATATTATTTACAAGGATAAGAAAATTATAAAAAATTAACATTTATTTAGTACTTACAAACTTTAAGAGATGGCGCAACTCAAAAAGTTATTAAAAATGCCTTTATTATTATTAAAAATTAAAATCGTTTCAATGTTTTAGATCAAATTCGACGCAATAACTTTTTCACGCTTCGTCAATCAACAAAAAAAGATAAAATAACACACGAAACGAATTCAAGAGCCTTGAACTAGCCTTATAAAAGTTTTTAATCCATAAATTAACTTAAAAAAAATGTCTAATTTTCAAAAAAAAAAAAAATTCCATTCGAGTCATAAATAGATTTAATCTAAATTTATAACTCTCCCGAGTATCTAAATTAATTAAACTTGAAATAATAAAAGTCAAAACGTAATAAAAATATATGAGAACTATTTTTAGATGAATTGTTTAAATAAGTTGTTTATTTTTGTGGTTAATTTTAAAGCGCGCTTAAAACGATTGTTGTTTAATTAGATTTTCTCTTTTTTAAACCCAACCAAAAAGAATCGGGCACCAAAGCGGCTCTATTCCGACTCAAAACAACCTCATTTTCGGTCCTTTTCACTTTTACAACATCAAATTTCAATAATAAATGCGACACAATCACTTTAGCTTCAAGTAAAGCCAATCTCGATCCAATACAGTTTCTAGGCCCAATTCCAAACGGGATAAACGCGTAAGGATTTAAATTTGGCCCATTAAATCGTTCCGGATCAAATTTATCCGGATTTGGATAAAATTTTTCGTCCCGATGAATTCCAAAAATAGGGATTATAATTCCTGTTCCTTTTTCGATCGTTAAATCGTCGTTTATTAAATAATTTTTGACACATTCTCGGTTTGTAAACGCCGATGGTGGCCATAAACGCAAAGTTTCTGAGACAATTTGGTCTAAATATTTAATTTTAATTATTGAGTCGTAATTTAAATCGTTTAATTCGTCGAGTTTTTCTTGGAGTTTTCTTTGAACGTTTTGATTTAAGGCCAATTCGTTTAATAAATGGCTTAATAAAGTTGAAATTGGCTCAAAACCAGCTAAGAAAAAGACGAATCCTTGTGCTATGATATCATTAACGGTGATTTTTTCATCTTTTCTTGCTTCGTTTAAAAGTTGGATCATATCTGGGCGAATTATGTTGTGTTTTTCGCGTTTTTTTAAAGTTTCTTTGATTATTTCGGTGAAAATTTGGGTTTCTTTCGATGGTAATTGACTCAATTGTAATATTTTCGCTAATTTTGGAAAAAAAATTTGGATTAAGGCGAAAATAAAAATGAATTTTGATGGGTTTGTTGTTGAGGAAGCGATTTTATATAAAATAGTATCTTGTTTTAATGAATTTGATTCAATTCCGAAAGCGATCGTTGAAATTACATCGATGGTGACTCGGGACATTAAATTTTTAGCTTCAATTTCGAGAATTTCGTTGTTTTTATAATTTTCGAGGAGATGCTCGTTTAATTGTTTGGCACAATTCGAAATTAATCCGGACATTAATCGAATTTTGTTTCCGGTGAATGATGGGGTTAAGAAATTTCGCAGTTCTTTCCATTTTTTTCCTTTTAACGCTGTTAAATTTTTGCCGAAAATCGGTTCTTGTTCGATGTCGGTTACGTTTATGTGGTCGCAGAAATATTCAAAGTCTTTTATTGTTATCTTCTTGATTAAGTCGATATCTTTGATTATTAAAGATTCAATCGAAAATAAATAGGTGCCATAATACCTAAAAATTTTTAAATTCAAATTAATTTTTGATTGTTTTGATTAAATTGTTATTAACCCATTTGCATCATTCAGAATACATACAGTGTGTTAATTAATTATCGTACCCGACGTCATCATTCCAAGTATGCAACCAATATTACAGTGCTGGTATTTCCATACACGATTTGCGTATTCAGATATATTCAGTGTGATATTGGTTGCATACTCGTGTTAGTTCAACCGTTACTTATACAGGGTGATTTATAACATACGGAGCAGATTAAAAAGGGGGCCAAATTGAAGATATTTTCTTAATAATGTTTTGACCAGCAAGACTTTAGGGATATACATATTCTAGCGCTTTGGCTTCCTGAAATTAACGTATAAATCTACACAGTGAATTGCGTGTAAGTGCGTGAATTGCGTAATTTAAGAAGTAACCTCTGCCGACTTCGAAGACGTCGGCCGCCCCCAAGTATCACGAACATCAAGACCACGAGAAACTTTGAGAAGCATATCTACATTACAACAATAAGAAAGGAAAGCCCACACTTGATGTCAAACGCTAATAGAGTACGGCTTATACACTTTGCAGTAAGTAAGCAGATGACCATATCGAACACTTACTTCTGACATAAGGACAACCATAAGGCCCTACACGGAGATACTCTAGTGGAGTCAAGATTAATCACATACTGATGAATACAACACCCGGATCGGATGTAATGGATGTTCGCAGTTTTAAAGAAGCTGATATAGATTCAGACCACTTCCTGGTAAAGATGAGATATCAAAAGGAAATATCACAGCTCAAAATTACCCAAGAATGAGGAAGAGACGAAAGGGAGACTTTAAAAAAGAACTGCAAAGGAGATTCTGAGGGAAGCAATACATACGGCAGAGAATAAAACAGTTGGATATGAGAAGAAAAGAGACAGACGAGAGTTAGTTTGACTAAGAGTGTACTGAAGCCATCGATATAAGAAATGAAGCAAAGCAAAGAATTATGGAAAGAATAACTAGAGTGAGGGTGCAGGAGCTTGCACGAGCATCCCATATAGTAAAGAGAAAAAGGAGAGTAGGAGTCTCATTAGATAGAGGAAATAGTCCTCTATTTCTTATTTAATGGTGTATCTATTTTAATGGTCAAGAGGAGAGAGATATATGGCAGGATATAATAAGAAAAAAGAGGGTTTCAGGCCAGGGTAGAGATGATTGAGAGCAAGGATGTAAACTTATACTTCGAGGATCTCTTGAACGAACCGAATCAAGAAGACAACTACTTTGGAATGAGAGAGGGCAACATAGAAATATCAGCCCCGGCCCAATCTGAAGTGAAGGAAGCCGCAAAGCATGAAAAATCAATGACACGAAGAAAAAATCAAACAATAACTCTTAAATTTTGGAGGGAAAGCGCTAAAGCAATAGATACATCGTATGCTCGTGAAGTGTGGGATCGAGAGTAAATGTCTAAGTAAGTAGGCAGTGAGCATATGCCTGGTGCATAAGAAGGGGCTAAAAATGTAAAAATTGTAGAGAAATCTCTACTCAATACAACATACAAAGTAACTATTGGTAATGTGGATTCCGCGGAGAGAGGTTAACAAGCAACTACATATTTACAATTAGAAAAGTACATGAGAAATGTTACAACCACGATATACCTGTGCATCAACTCTTCCTTACAATATACAGGGTGGTTCAGTTTTTAATCGGGAAACTTTACTAGGACGTAGTACTTGCCAAAATAACACAAGTTTTTTATATATTGTAGCGATAAAAAGTTCTTATAAAAAAAATCAAGGGGATGGTGAATTTTACCTCCTTAGAGGGTGCTGGGAAAGTTTAACGTATGGTTGGAAATAAGGTCTTAACCAGAAGTAAATACGTACAAAGTTTCAAATTCGACGGTTTACGTACAGCCGAAATACAAAACAAAATGTAAATTTTTGGCTCAACTTTGATCGTTCATAGTTAGAAAACAAAAGAGTTGCAACCCAATGTTTATATAAAAAATTTGTGTTATTTTGGCAAGTATTATATCCTAGTAAAGTTTCCCGATTAAAAACTGGACCATCCTGTATATACAGGGTGTTATATCTACAGAGTGTTCCGGTGACTCGAGGCATAAAATTAACCTCATATACTAGAGCAAAAATGATGTCGATTCGTGAAAAAAAATTATTATAAAAGTCTTCAAATGGCCAAGATATGGGCCATCAAAGTTCAGAAATTTTAACACATTTTTCTAAATATTTTCAATACCATTTATGGTAGAGCGTTGAAATTTGGTATAGGGTAAACAAATATCAAGCAAAATCATTGAACCAATTTTGACTTTGATCGGGCGGTGGCAACCATGCTATACAGGTGTCCCTAAAATTTGTTTGCTCAGAACTTTTTTGTTCGCTCATAACCCTACATTTATTTTAGAAACTTTTATCACTCTTTGAAAATTTTGATAACATTGACCGTTTTCGAGTTATACGCGAAAATATTAAGCTTTGATTTCAATCGTAACAAACAAAAAAAGGAAACATATTCCGCAAGATCTGAGTTGGCGATGACAATTGAAAAACGAACTGAGCTAATAACCATTATTTGCATAAATTTCTACGTGCAGATTTAGTTAAATCCAGTGTTAATTTATTTTAGTTGAATAAAAGAAAGTAATTTCAACAAACAAGAACATAACAAAAATTCTAACAAAAATATTAACGAGAACAATAAAATTATAAACAAATAGTAATAAATAAAAAAGAAGAAAAAAATACTAAAGCCTGATATCGCTGTCTTAAATTAAAGCGCACTCTGCGGAGAACATTAATCTCAGTTCGAAGTTGATCAAATGAATCAACAATTCGCAACCTCAGTTGATCAACTGAAGTTATTTCAACGCAGTAAACTAGCGATTTAACGCGTTTGCATAAATAAAAATCTACAGGTGTAAGATCCGGCGATCGGGGGGGCCAACTTATCGATGCACCTACACCTCGTCCAATCCACCGTCCCGGAAAACGTTCCTTCAGAAATTCTTGGACAGCCTGTGTGATATGCGCAGGAGCACCATCATGCATATAACACATTGCTTGCTTTGTGTTTAAAGGAACGTTATCTAAAAAATCATCTAATTCCTCTAAATGTCGCCTGTATGTATGTCCATCCAGCCTTGATGGCAAGAAAACGGGTCCAATAATTACATCGCCCACAATGCCAGCCCAAACGTTAAGAGAAAATCTCCATTGTGATTTCTAAGTTTCCTTAAATCTTGGATTTTCGTCCGCCCAACTATGTACATTTGTCAAATTGATGATTCCATCTTTAGAAAAAGTGGATTCATCTGTAAAAAGCACTTTTTCTTAAAACTGATCATCAATTTGGATTTTGTGCTGCATTATTTGGCAATATTGCAGTCGCAGTGGGTAATCAGCCAGTCGAACTTCCTGAACTTTGTAACAATGAAATGGATAAAGCTGTTGCTCGTGAAGAACACTCCAGACAGTTGTTTTTGAAGTTAAAAAGTGCCTCGCCATATCCAAAGTATTAGCTGTAGTATTTTCTTCTACGTAGTCTATTTCCATGACATTCCCTTAATGTCAAAATCATGTCAGTTTGTTCACTAAATGTGTAACTCTCCATTTTGGACACTTAAAATTAATAAAAACTTAACTAACAAAAAACTATCGTTTGTGTTTAAACGACATAAGCAAGTTGACAGCTCAATTTGTTTTTTTTAATTGCCATGGCCAATCTTGACTTTTTCGAAGATTTTTGTTTTTTAGTGTTATTGAAATCGAAGTTTAATATTTTCGCGTATAACTCGAAAACGATCAATGTTATGAAAATTTTCAAAGAGTGATAAAAGTTTCTAAAATAAATTTTCTATTAATAAGTACAAAAATAAATGTAGGGTTACGAGCGAACAAAAAAGTTCTGAGCAAACAAATTTTAGGGACACCTGTATAGCATGGTTTCCGCCGCCCGATCAACGTCAAAATTGGTTCAATGATTTTGCTTGATATTTGTTTACCCTGTACCAAATTTCAACGCTCTACCATAAATGGTATCGAAAATATTTAGAAAAATGTGTTAAAATTTCTGAACTTTGATGGCCCATATCTTGGCCATTTGAAGACTTTTATAATAATTTTTTTTCACGAATCGTCATCACTTTTGCTCTAGTATGTGAGGTTAATTTTATGCCCCGAGTCACCGGAACAGCCTGTATATTGTATATACAGGAGGTTTCAGGTTTTTGTAGCAGCACTTTAACAGTCGATAGATCTTTTAAAATTAACACAAAAGCTTCATATAAACATAAGTCGACAAACGCTTTGTTTTGGAGATACAAGCTGTTCAAGTTAAATTTTTATTATTATTGCACCAGCCCTTCTACAATGGGGACTGGACGACCTGCTACCGCACCTGAAGAGAATTTTCCAGGGTTGCCTGGCGCTTCGCTTTGTACCGGGAAGTTGGCGTGATGTCACGGTTAACTTCATACCTAAACCGGGTAAGCAAGACTACTTCCTTTAGTCTCTCCTCCTTTTTAATGAAATCGTTGGAGAGACTTTGCGATCGTTATATTAGATATGCACCAGGCCACTAGACTCTAATCAACATGCTTACACTCAGGGGAAATCCACACTAACAGCTCTTCACGTGGTGACTAGCTTCGTTGGTGATGCGCTGGACCACAAAGAGTCCGCCCTGGGTGTCTTCATTGACGTGGAAGGCGCTTTTGACAGAACCACCTTCTCCGGAATAAACGAGGCCTTGTTAGAGCATAACGTTCCTCCGACCCTATGTGGTTGGATCGAGAGCACTCTAAGGCATAGAATCGTTAAATTAAGGGCTGGCAACGCCACCCTACAAAGGGCTGTTACCAGAGGCTGTCCGCAAGGGGGGTTCTTTCTCCACTTCTGTGGAATCTCACCCTGGATAGCCTGATGAAACGCCTTAAACTAGCTGGCTTTAAAACCGTTGGCTACGCAGATGACCTGGCAATCCTCATTCGAGGGAAGTACGTCAAGGTACTCCTTGAGAGGATGCAGGAACCACTCAATATAACTGAGAACTGGTGTATTAAACAATCCCTCTCCGTTAACCCCAAGAAGACAGAGATGGTTATTTTTACACGCATGCGCAACATAGGCAACCCCAAACTGCCAATGCTCGCTAATACTCCACTTACACTGTCTACAGAGGTTAAGTACTTGGGCTTAATTTTAGATAGCAAGTTAACGTGGAAATCCCACCTAGATAATAGAGTAAAAAAGGCATGCGTCGCTTACGGCCAGTGCCGTAGGGCTGTCGGGAGGACGTGGGGGTTGTCCCCCAAGATAGCTCTATGGATTTACACGGCGGTAATCTGTGTTGGCTGCTGATTATATTGTTGACTCGAACAAACGCGGTAAGTGTTATACTATTTATACAGACAGTAGGCAATCTGTTTTAGCGTTAAGCAGCGTTAAGATAACGTGTGCACTAATAATGGACTGCCATCTAGCACTGGAAGAAGCCACGAAACACAATCGTGTCACTATCCAATGGATCAAGGGGCACTCCGGCTCTACGGGTAACAAACATGCGGATAGGCTGGCAAAGCGTGCTGCCAGCAGAGTTCCCTATGCACCCGAGCCGATAATTACCCCTTCCTTAGCTACTCATATCAACATGATTAAGTACATTACCCACAAAAAATTCCTAAACGTGTGGGACAAAACCCCAGGCTGCTATCTTGCTAAGGATTTGTTAAAATATCCTTCGAAATCTACAGCTCAGTTTTTCGTAGGGCTTGGAAAAAACGCCCTTAGATTAGCCACAGGTCTCCTCACGGGACACTGTAAGGTAAACAAGCACCTTCACAATATGAAGCTTGCAAATTCTCCCATCTTGTGTGATTGCCCCTCTCTAGCAGACCTCAGAATGAGGACCCTCGGAGAGGCATGGCCGACCACAGATGATATCAGGAACTTACCTCTGAGTAATATTCCCTAGGCTGGTTGATGTGAAAAGAGGTTATGTTGGAAGTATGCACAAGGGGTCCAATGGGGCCTAAGTGCGGTGTGCGGGAACGCATGCACTCCCGTTTCCTTACATACATCACTACTCTAGATAGATATACAATACGCTGCGGATACTCGCGGTACCGGAAAAGCTTATCCGACTAGTAAGGATGACACTAGCAAACACCAGGACTGTGATAAAGATGCTCGGAACGATCTCGGTAGAGCTTGTGGTGAACCCCGTCCTCAGATAAGGGTCAAGAGGGCTTTAGAAAGGGTCATCAGGAACATCGGAATACGACTGTTAAATCGAACAACGTAATGCCTAGAATACAGAGAACAACTGGAACTGGGCATATGCCTACGGGAGATACTTTCATATTAATCATAATAAGACAAAATATATGCTCATGGTTAAAGGAAGGTCTAAGATATGGCGATCGTTCAATGTATGCGGATACTCGTTTGAAAACAGAGAATAATAAGAATGGACTGGAAAGCGAGGAAAGAATCAAAGCTGGAAACAAAGCAAATTAGAGCATTCATAGCACAAAAGACATAGATGCTAACTAAGATAGACGAGCGAAGCCGAAAGGAGGAAGTATATTTATATGATGGGCCACTCCTTTCATCCGAAGTTAGGAAGACCAGACTCAAGCTTCATGTGGCCAAGCCATCTACTTGGCCACAAGACGAAGATGTCGGAGGAGAGAACGGTAAAAAGAGCATACCCACAGAAACCTGATGATGCACGACTTTTGGAACAAACGCGCAAACAATGACGTGGAGGCTAACCTGAGGAGGCTGGGAGTGAGAGGACGCCAAGCACTTTGCAGAGAAGATTGACGAGGAATGGTAAAAGAGGCCAATGGGTAAGTAAAAGTACTAAGTACTAGTTCTAGGTCTAAGTTTCTGAAGAAGATTATAGTGCTAGTATTAGTACTAGTTTTTGTTCAATATAATACATTAATTATAACAAAAGTAGTAATAATTATCTAAATAATATCTATTTAGCGGTGATTTAGGTGATAATGGCCAAAAAATACCTAAACATATGATACAAATGGGTTACTTACATACTTTTTATTGGGAAATCTTCGATACCACTCAAGAACTAAATAACCCAAATTCTTCCTTCTCAAAATGAAATCTTTTAAATCGCCGAAAACGGGAGAAGTAATCACGTAATCGACGTTTTTATTCTTCCAATAATTCGAGCACCAAGCATTTTTAACAACAACAATCAACAAAAGAATCAAAAAAATTGCAAACAAAACGAGATGAACGAAGAGCATCGTTTCGAAATGAAATTGGTTAGTTTATTGTTTCAATTCTGTTGCAAGGTCGAAATCGGGGAGGTTTGTATATATATTTCTAAGTATAAATGTGAGAAATCGTTTCGAATAGAAACGGAATAATTCTATTTAATTCGTCGAATTGCAAAAATTATTTTTGAATCATCACAAATTCAAATTCATTTTGAATTCGTGTTAAAAAAATTTTTATAAAAATTTTAAATCGAAAATTGCAGATTTCTTCTTTATGTATTAATCGCACCGAGGCACCAAGAGATGGCGCTATTCCCAAAACTTTAATAATAATAATATTATAAAAAGAATCAAAATCATTTCATTTCCACTCCTTATTTTAACTCCAACACTTCTTTTATGAGTATTAAAATGAATTAATCTCAAATTTAACATTATCGAGCGAACCCAAGTCGATTTTTTCCCAACATCCAAAACGGGGATCAATAAAGAGTTGTGAAACTCGTAAAAAATCGGAGTCATCATAGCGCTTATCGTATTCTTGCAAATAATTCCTTTACCATTCGCATATAAAACAGCTTTTTGTTCGGTTCTTTGTGTTAAAACGCAATATTTACAAGATTTATCGATAAAAGTGATGTTATTGATGATGGCGAGATCCACGCATTCATCGGATCGTAAAATTTCCACTTCAATACTATAAACTTGAACATCTCCGTTCGTATTTTTTATATAACCGCTTATGAAACAGTTATTATTATTGAAATTTCCCATTTTAATTTCGTCATCGGGTAATTTTGAATAACCCAAATATAAATCGTCGAATTCTATGCGATTTTTTAACTAGAAAAAAGAATTAAAAGATGTCATAAACAATAATGAGCTTACTTTTATAACCGCAAGATCATTTTCGGAAAAATTATTCCAATGATGAATTGTTATGTTACTTATAAACATTTTTAAAAATGTTATTTTATCCTTTACGTTTAAATAACGAAGATAAACGCAAGATTTTTCGGGGTTTTTTTGATTTAAGAAGCAACTCGCTGAAGTTAAAATATGAGAAGTACTAAAAATCGATCCTTTACAATAACTTTCTTCAATAATTTCAGCTTTTGTGGTTAATTTGCAATTTGGGGTTATTGTCGCTTCAGAAATGTGCTTTTGGAGGCCGGTTTCAAATGAATAAGGGTTTCGACATAAACTGCATTTTTTAAAATCAATTTGGAGCGGTTTTGTAATCGCGATAATGTTCGCGATTATTAATGTTTTTAATAAGTTTGGGTTTATTAACATTTTTTTTTAATTAATCAACGTCAAATTTTTGTCATAACATTTAAATAGTAATTTAAATCCACGCAATTAGAATGTTTATTTCGAGAGAGATGATAAAAATAGAAATCTCTTACATAAAAATACTCATCATAATTGTTGTTTTTACGTTATTACTAGATCTTATATCATTATATCATCGTTGTATAACACTTTGGCCAGATTTGTGTTTGATAACATTTTATTTAGCGATAACAAGTGTAAATAAACAAAATTGCACGTTATACATCACTTGACTGAGCGACTTTAATTTTATTATTATATTCGTAATCTTCATAAAAAATCCTTTAAAATGAGTCCAAACTCGACATATTTAACTTTAATATTAATAAAAATACAATCACTTCCGGTTTGAAACGTCAATTTTGACATATTCGTCATCTTCGTTAAAAAACCTTTAAAATGAGCCCAAAGATGGCGCACTTATCTCAAAGAACAAAAAAGTTAGAATAAAAAACATTAAACCCGAAGTTAGCAACAATTTAATTTTTAAATATTAATACCAACCTTAATTATTGCTTTTTTTTTAATTATATTTTTGTTTTTGTGACAAATATTAAGACATTTCATAAAAATTAAGAATATGTCAAAATGACATTGACATTTCAAACCGGAAGTTGCTTATATCTCGAGTAATATTGGAATTAAACGCATCACGTTTGGACTCATTTTAATTTACGACGATTACAAATATGTCAAAATTGACGTTGACATTTTTAACCGAAAGTTGACCATAACTTCACTAATATTGAAGATAAATATGTCGTGTTTGTACTCATTTTAAAGGATTTTTAATGAAGATTACAAATATGTCAAAATTGAGGTTGACATTTTAAACCTAAACTTAGTTATCACATAATAGAAGTTTTATAATTGACGTTAATCTAGTGTTTAGTCGTGAAAAAAACTTTCAGTTGTCAATGTCAACTTTAATTTTATTAATATATTCGCAATCTTCATAAAATAACCTTTCAAGTGACTCAAAACTTGACGCATTTACATCAAAAACCTAAAAAGTTCTAACTTTCGACTTTTAATTTTGACATATTTGTCAACTTCATAAAAAATCCTTTAAAATGAGTCCAAATTCGACATATTTAACTTTAATATTAATAAAAATACAATCACTTCCGGTCCAATTTTGACATATTTGTCATCTTCATTAAAAAACCTTTAAAATGAGCCCAAAGATGGTGCACTTATCTCAAAAAACTAAAAAGTTAGAATAAAAAACATTAAACCCGAAGTTAGCAACAATTTATTTTTTAAATATTAATACCAACCTTAATTTTTGATTTTTTTTTATTATATTTTAGTTTTTTTTGACAAATATTAAGACATTCTATAAAAATTAAGAATATGTCAAAATGACATTGACATTTCAAACCGGAAGTTGCTTATATCTCGAGTAATATTGGAATTAAACGTATCATGTTTGGACTCATTTTAATTTACGACGATTACAAATATGTCAAAATTGACGTTGACATTCTTAACCGGAAGTTGACCATAACTTCACTAATATTGAAGATAAATATGTCGTGTTTGTACTCATTTTAAAGGATTTTTAATGAAGATTACAAATAAGTCAAAATTGAGGTTGACATTTTAAACCTGAAGTTAGTTATCATATAATAGAAGTTTTATAATTGACGTTAATCTAGTGTTTAGTCGTGAAAAAAACTTTCAGTTGTCAATGTCAACTTTAATTTTATTAATATATTCGTAATCTTCATAAAATAACCTTAGAAGTGACTCCAAACTTGACGCATTTACTTCAAAAAACCAAAAAGTTCTAACTTTCGACCTTTAATTTTGACATATTTGTCAACTTCATAAAAAATCCTTTAAAATGAGTCCAAACTCGACATATTTAACTTTAATATTAATAAAAATACAATGACTTCCGGTCCAATTTTGACATATTTATCATCTTCATTAAAAAACCTTTAAAATGAGCCCAAAGATGGCGCACTTATCTCAAAAAACAAAAAAGTTTGAATAAAAAACATTAAACCCGAAGTTAGCAACAATTTAATTTTTAAATATTAATACCAACCTTAATTATTGATTTTTTTTTATTATATTTTAGTTTTTTTTGACAAATATTAAGACATTTTATAAAAATTAAGAATATGTCAAAATGACATTGACATTTCAAACCGGAAGTTGCTTATATCTCGAGTAATATTGGAATTAAACCTATCATGTTTGGACTCATTTTAATTTACGACGACTACAAATATGTCAAAATTGACGTTGACATTCTTAACCGGAAGTTGACCATACTTCATTAATATTGAAGATAAATATGTCGTGTTTGTACTCATTTTGAAGGATTTTTAATGAAGATTACAAATAAGTCAAAATTGAGGTTGACATTTTAAACCTGAAGTTAGCTATCCTATAATAGAAGTTTTATAACTGAAGTTAATCTAGTCTTAATCACTTTTCCGCACTTTTTTTATTTTTAACGTGTTTTATGGGTCATTTCTCATGGATTAAAAACGGATGGATAATGTAAAAAAATGTAAAAATGGATAATGTATGTACATTATACAGAAACAGCCTGTATAATCGTAAAACGTAACGAGTCACCAAGCGGCTTCTGTGCTTGTAATAGCTGTCATCAGTGTTCTGTGATAAAAATGGGCAGGCACCAAACAATTTTCAATAGTTTGAGCCTGTCTACTCTGAGAAGTCTTATATTTTATAAATATGTCTTATAAATTTTGGAAAGCGACCTCGGCTTAATACAGTGTGTAAATTAACCCGGCAGTGGGAGCTATTCACGTTCCCACTGCCATTTTCTACGTTCTAAGACGGTAAATATTTAATATGTAATTTTGTTTTAATTATATGTATTTAATTTATAAAACCTTTTAGACGTGCCTGAAGATGACCAACTTATTGGTTGAAACGTAACGTAGCACCGATTTAATAATTGAATAAAATATCTTTCATCGTTTTCAAACAGTGTTTTTTTTGGAAAAATTCACATCTATAGTTATAAATATACGATGAATATAGACTCAACATTAGCTAAATGTTCATATACACTTTATATGTGTCCCTGGGTCAGATCAACCCAACGTTCCCACAGCCGGGTTAATTGTCGTACCCGACGTCATCATTCCAAGTATGCAACCAATATCACAGCGTTGGTATTGCAATACGCAAATCGCGATATTGGTTGCATACTTGCAATGATGACGTCGGGTACGATAATTAATTAACATTTAAAACATCATTTAAGCCGACCCATTTTCGTTCAAGTGTTATTCGTTACTCAGTTATCTTTTGAAATAGAAACAATTTAATGATGTTTTATTATGGTAAATAAAATATTGAACAACTTTTATACAAAAAGTTTTTTTATAAAGTGCGCAAAATGCTCGATGGGAGATGGAACCTTGGAATGATCTCCCAAGGTTCCTTTCATCAACAGAAATTAAGAGTGAAGAGAGATCCTCGAGATTCTTGATACAATCATATTCGAAAATAATTTGAATTGTTCTAAATCAGTGTTTGAAAGGTAGATTTAAAAAAAGCTGTGTAGAGATATGGAAGGTGAATGAACACTTTGGTGTTTATCTATATTTATTCTTTGGTGTTATTTTTGTACATAATGGTGCTATTCTGGTTTATTTGCAACTCATTAATGACCGTTTGTAGCGCTATATTGAACAATACGATATTAAACACCATACGTGTCAGATTTAGTAATTTAAAAGGATTTCTCATATACTGCGTGGCTCTATATGGTGCTTTTCGATACAAACCGTTATAGGCTTGCTTAAAATTTATGAAGATGTTAAATAGACTAGTCTCAAATTCCCTTACTTTTCTCTAAACCCACCTTGGTACTGACCTAAGGTCTCTTCTGCGTATGGGGCGATTTTGTAACATAGCATATCTATTAGGACTGTATATGTGGTACAAGAGAAGCTATATTCTGCTTTTTATATATTGAACATATGAGGGCAGTATAGGAATCTGCAGGTATCTTCTTAGTGTCCCAGATTTTCACTATAAGTTGATGTATGAAGACTACGGCTCACTTATTTTTAGTTTATTATACAGGGTGATTCACATAAGAACCGACACAGTGCAGGGACATGTAGAGGACAATAAATTAAGATGATTTAACGCAACTTACTTAATATCCTTGGTACACTCATAACGTATACCAAATTTGGTTTTTCTAGCTTAATGTATTACGAAGATATTGAACTTTTTGAAAATTTAAGAGCCAACTTTGAAGGCCTATAACTCCTCAGGTGTACAACTTAGTATAGAGGTAAGTTACGTTAAATCATCTTAATTTATTGTCCTCTACATGTCTCTGCGCTGTATCAGTTCTTATGTGAATCACCCTGTATATACAGGGTGTCACACAAAAAACGCCCCAAGCTGTAACTCTGTCATTTATATGACGATTTTCATGAAAGAGGCATCAAATGAAATGGTTTGATGAATGCTATGATTCATGCTACAAATAAATTTTTTTCAAGGCCATCTTGAATTTTAAGCGATTATTAACTTTTGTTTTTCAAATTGCTCCATTTTTTTTTCTTCACGTCACTAGATAAAGATTGCTTTTCTGAATCCATTGATGTACATTACATCCATTTTGAATGTAATTTTAGCACAAAAAAGACACCTGTATATACAGGTTGTCGCGCAAGAACGCCGCAAGCTATAACTCTGTCATTTACCTTCCGATTTTTATGAACGAGGCATCAAATGAAATGATTTGATGAATGCTATGATTCATGCTACAAATAAACTTTTTCCAACGTCATCTTCAATTTCAAGCGATTATCAACTTTTGATTTTCAAATTGGTCGGTATGTTTTTCTTCACGTTATGGGATAGAGATTTTTTTTCTGAACCCATTGATGTACATTACATTAACATTAATTGTAATTTTAGCAGAGAAAAACAATTAAAACATTTTCCGAACATTGTGTAATACTGCAGTGTATATATTAGTATATATACAGGGTGATTCATATATTAGTATATATTAATAGTGGAACGCATAGTGATTTTGCGAAAAGCCGGATACCGGATATTCGGCATCCCCTTTGGTCGGATATCCGGTATATTTATCCGGCCATAATGGTATTAATTTTTGGTACATTTCTGAAGTGATACCTTTACAATGTCACATTATTGCGATATTTGAATAAAAATGAAATTAATAAGAAACCTGATAAGATATGTCAATTTATTTGGATCCAATTACTTTAATTAGTAATTGGTGATATTTCCACAAAGATCCTTCAAGAAATTAATTTTATAGCGAATTTTGAAAATTATCGATGAAAATAGCAACATCGAAAATTTTATCAAAACTTCAAATATTGTTTTCTCAAAAACTAAAAGTTATTTTTCAAAACGGGTTGGTTCATTGGAAAGANTTGAATTTCAGCGAAATCGCTTGACCGGAAGTGTCACTTTACCTGAACACATACACTTTTGTATACGTCTGTAAAATGAGAAAAAAATACCATATATGGAATTTTATCGAAATCGTATGATCGGATCAGTCATTTGTACTTTTTTGTATGTAAGTATTTACAATGTTTTGAATTCACTGCGTTTCAACGCGTTTTTCCAACTACATTAATTGCAGAAACCTTTTTTTAACAATCTCTGTAAACGACATTTTGTAAACGACTTCAGGTTCTTTATCATTAATTTCGTTTTAGACCATACGTTTGTTGTTATTTGTTATTTATTAATATTTTGTATTGCTTTGAAGTGTTAATAAAACATTTTAAAACTTGTAAATAAAACTGGAAAATAAACAGATGTTATTTCAAACATGATGAATTTCTTAGTTTTAGGGGACAATTTCTCAGAGATCAAGAAAAATATTTAAATGAATAACATAAGATTTTAAGGGGGCAGAGAAATAGCTTTAAATGGCATAATGACTTCTGTGGAGAAAAATTATCTTTTGATGTAAATTCAGCCTTGAATGTGCTCAAAAATTGTGATTTTCGCATATTTTAGGTAAGATATCTTGAAAATCTTAGGTGATGAAGCAATTCTGACGTCAGATTCGGATTCAGGGCATCGAAAATTATTTGGAAGATATAGTCTGGTCTCTGGTTTAAAAATTTGTCGGCCTGTGTAATTGGTGATATTTCCACAAGTATCCTTTAAGAAATTAATTTTATAGCAAATTTTGAAAGTTATTGATGAAAATTGCAACATCGAAAATTTTATCAAAACTTCAAATATTGTTTTTTCAAAAACTAAAAGTTATTTTTTCAAAACGTGTTGGTTCATTGGAAAGAGAACACTTTCATTAACACTTTGGGAAATTTTCATACTCATATTCCAAGAAATCGATTTTATACGAATTTTTAAAACTTAATCGGCGAAAATTGCTAAATTCGAAAAAATTATCGGTTATTTCAAAAATTTATTTCTCAAGAACTAAAAGTAATTTGTCAAAACGGCTTTTTGCATTAAAAAGAGGATACTTTAATTAATAATTGGTGATATTTCCACAAGTATCCTTCAAGAAATTAATTTTATAGCGAATTTTGAAAGTTATCAATGAAAATCGCCCATAATAATGCTATATTTATTTATATTTTTAAATTTTTCTTGTATTCCAGATAATACAAGAAACCAATTAACCTAATATTTGGCTCTTTTCGTAAATCTTTCTTTACTTATTAAATTCTTTGATAATAAATTTTTTTACCTACCTCGTTTCATGCATTTTATCCTCCATTTCTTGTCGCATTTATCCCTTTGGTGGCATCAGCAAACAGTTGCATGTTTTGTATCCGACACGGAATAAGGTTGTAATTTTTTACTTCATACCTAAAAAAAAATTTAAACGGGTTGATCAGGAACTTGTTTGGATTGGCATTAAAAACAACAACTCTTAATAATCTGTAATTATCTCCCTAAATACACATTATTAATTCAAAAAACATCAACATATTTACTACTTTGTAATCATTTAATCAATATAATGATTTAAAAGGAAATTTTAGGATGGAACAAAGAAATTCGATGAAGGTTCAAAAAAGACATTAATTAATTCAATATAAACAATTTTTTATTTTATGTATTTCCGCTTTGAATACGTAGTTAAACATCTTAAACATAAGTTTTTAATTAAATGTATGGCAAAAAACCTTTTTCTTACTAAATCGTACTAAATTGAGCTTATTACTATTTCAATACGAGTAGTAAATGTGAATTGAAAGAATTGTATTAATAATAATAATAAAGATTCTTGATTAAGGGCAGTTTGTTTTCAACAAGGAACGAAAATAATCTCTATACACAGACATCTATTAATGAAATTAAAATCACAGAAAATCTTTTTGTTGTGAATGGAAAACTTTTAGAAATCTGTATATGTATTTGTATAATTATTTATAATAATTATTGTGATATTAATTAAAAAAAACAAATTAATTAAAATAGGACACAAACATAAAAATAAGGAAACACTTGTGCTATTATTTTTTTTGACACAAAAAGTCTTATCAAATTAACCTATCTAAATAACACACAAACGCCTTAGTACAAAAATTTGTTAACACGTTTGATTATTTTTTTTTTGTTCCACTAATAACATTTCATTTTTCACCATCATCATCACAACTGAGCTTTTCGATCGAAATATTACGTTATCATAATGCGGAGTATTCATTATAACTTGTAATCAATTTATATTGAACACCCTGTATATAAATGGTATTAACAATGATTTTTACGTATGATATTTTTTATTATAACCTAAATAATTTGATGGAATTAAACGATTTTTGCATTGAATCAGTCCCATCATTTTTTTAATCAGTCATTTTTTGAATTCACTGTTGTTGTTCTCTTTGGAAATTAATACAAAAAGAATTAATCTAAATGTTTATTAAGATTCTTTTTTACTTACGAATTTCCCGGGTAATAATTGTAAGGAGGTGGCCTATCATATTCTGTGGGCGCCCTCTGATATTGAGGGGGGCCCCCATTCGGGAAATCTTCCCAGTGTTGTCTAAAAACAAAAAAAAACGAACAATGCAAGCAATAACAATAACAAATCTATTTAAAGCGGATTAAAAATTAATAAACGTAAATGATTGATGAGGGATTATGTTTATAAAATAAATAGCAATAAAAATTAATAAGACTATAACAAAAGCGTAGGATAAATAATTTAAAAGGATTAAAATCGTGTCGATTTGTTGTATATATCAATGACTCTGCAAAAGAAAATGGAAAAATTCAAATCAAATCAAAATAAGCACGATTATGGGTCAAGAGCAGAAATAACTTCATTTATCTTAAAGTTAAAAAAGAAATTACCTTGGTGTCATATCAGAATAACGCGTATCTTGCCCAGAACTGCTGGGATAATCTCGCCTAGCACCCGGATGGTCCCCCATATCCGCTGGATAATGCCCCGCGGTTCTATTATCATATTTCTTATTCTTTTTTTTCTTCTTACTGGGTTTCCCATTACTTAAAACAAAAAAAACCTAATTACTCCAACACTTTAATTGTTGTTTTAAATCCAGTTTTAGTCAAAAAAGAAATTTTGATAACCTAGAAAAATTTTTATTGCACAAAACATTACCAGGCATGCTTTTAATTCGAAATCATAAAATAAAAATAAATAAATAAATAAAATAAGAAGGGACATTGATTTATTATTACAAACACGCAGCCAAAAAAGCCAACTTACCTCGCCAAAGGAATAATTTCACGATCAGCATACGCATCATACAAATATTCGCTGCAAAACATACACAAAAAAATTAAGTAATTCATTTCTGAAATTTCCGAGGAAATTTTTCAGAATAACACGAAAAAATAATACGAAAAATATAACAATCCTATTTCACATACATTCGATTCACATTTAATAAGATTCTACATAAAGGCTACGTTTTTCATTTTTTTAGAAAGAAATTAACAAAGAGATACTTACGATTCTCCCGGATAAGAATAAGGATCGTATTTCTTGTATAACGATGCCAATTTCACGGAAAGTATTATTAAAACGATGAATAAGAGTAATGACCAGAATAAAACGAACCAAAATCCGTTCTGTAACAAAAAAAAATAGCTTAATTATATAATTTTAAATATAATCGAAAAACCCTTTTGTTTAAACAAAATCTAAATTTAAATAAATCATATCGACCTTATTTTGAGAAAAACAATTTTATCGAAAAACCCGTTTTTCTGCAATTTCAGTAAAAATACAAATTTAAAAAATTCGTATTGATCTTATTTTAAGGAGTTAAAACGTGATGTATATCTTAAATTGAAGGTAAAAGACTCTATTTTATGATAATGCCGAGATATAATGAGGTTTGTTATAAAGAATTTGCAAAAAACGAGTCTTTAATGAAAATTTGTCAATTTGCGAAATGCCAAAAAAAAATCTAAATTTAAATAAATCATAACAACCTTATTTTGAGGAATTAAAAAATTATTTATATCTTAATTTAAAGCTAAGAGACTCTATTTTTGGATAATGATCAGAAATAATAAGGTTTATTAAAAATAATTTCCAGAAAAACAATTTTATGGAGAAACCCGTTTTTTTGCAAATTTAGTTAAAGTGTAAATTTAAAAAATTCGCATTGAGCTTATTTTAAGGAGTTGGAACGTGATGTATATCTTAAATTAAAGCTAAAAGATACTATTTTATGATAACACCGAGGTATAATGAGGTTTGTTATAAAGAATTTGCAGAAAACGAGTCTTTAATGAAAATCTGTCAATTTGCGAAATGTCAAAAAAATCTAAATTTAAATAAATCATAACAACCTTATTTTGAGAAATTAAAAAATGATTTATGTCTTAATTTAAAGCTAAGAGACTCTATTTTTGGATAATGTTTAGAAATAATAGGGTTTATTATAAATAATTTGCAAAAAAACAATTTTATCGAAAAACCCGTTTTTCTGCAATTTCAGTAAAAATACAAGTTTAAAAAATTCGTATTGATCTTATTTTAAGGAGTTGGAACGTGATGTATATCTTAAATTAAAGCTAAAAGACTCTATTTTATGATAAAGCCGAGATATAATGGGGTTTGTTATAAACAATTTGCAGAAAACGAGCCTTGACTGAAAATCTGTTAATTTGCGAAATGCCAAAAAAAATCTAAATTTAAATAAATCATAACGACCTTATTTTGAGGAATTAAAAAATTATTTATATCTTAATATAAAGCTAAGAGACTATATTTTTGGATAATGTTTAGAAATAATAGGGTTTATTATAAATAATTTCCAGAAAAACTGTTTAATCGAAAAACCGGTTTTTCTGCAATTTCAGTAAGTGTAAATTTAAAAAATTCGCATTGATCTTATTTTAAGGAGTTGGAACGTGATGTATATCTTAAATTAAAGCTAACAGATTCTATTTTATGATAAAGCCGAGATATAATGGAGTTTGTTATAAACAATTTGTAAAAAACGAGCCTTTAAGGAAAATCTGTCAATTTGCGAAATGCCAAAAAAAAATCTAAATTTAAATAAATCATAANGTGAAAACTACAACATGAAATATGCAGAAGAGATACAAGCATTCCACTTCGAAGGATCAAGAAAACAGATATCTCTACATACTGTTGTTGTATATACCAAACAAGATGAGGTACAGCAACAATGCTTTTGCACTTTATCAGAATCGCTTCTACATAATGTCCCGGCCATTTGGGCGCATTTAGACCCAATAATAAAGTGCATAACAAACTCTTACCCAACAGTTGATACGCTTCACTTTATTAGTGACTCACTGTCGACTCAATACCGTAATAAAACCATGTTTTATTTCCTAGCAATCGAGTTGCCAAAATTGCACCCAAAAGTAAAAAATTTTACTTGGAACTATTNTAAAAGATTCTATTTTATGATAACGCCGAGATATAATGGGGTTTGTTATAAACAATTTGCAGAAAACGAGTCTTGAATGAAAATCTGTCAATTTGCGAAATGCCAAAAAAAAATCAAAATTTAAATAAATCATAACGACCTTATTTTGAGGAATTAAAAAAATGATTTATATCTTAATTTAAAGCTAAGAGACTCTATTTTTGGATAATTTTTAGAAAAAATAGGGTTTATTATAAATAATGTCCAGAAAAACAATTTTATCGAAAATGCCGTTTTTCTGCAATTTCAGTAAAAGTAAGAATTTAAAAAATTCGCATTGACCTTATTTTAAGGAGTTGGAACGTGATTTATATCTTAAACTAAAGCTAAAACACTCTATTTTATGATAACGCCGAGATATAATGAGGTTTGTTATAAACAATTTGCAGAAAACGAGTCTTTAATGAAAATTTGTCAATTTGCGAAATGTCAAAAAAATCTAAATTTAAATAAATCATAACGACCTTATTTTGAGGAATTAAAATATTATTTATGTCTTAATTTAAGGCTAAGAGACTCTATTTTTGGATAATGTTTAGAAATAATAGGGTTTATTATAAATAATTTCCAGAAAAACTGTTTAATCGAAAAACCGGTTTTTCTGCAATTTCAGTAAAAGTGTAAATTTAAAAAATTCGCATTGATCTTATTTTAAGGAGTTGGAACGTGATGTATATCTTAAATTAAAGCTAACAGATTNAATGTCCCAAAAACTTAAGAATGTTTTGCTACAAACCTTTAGAGGAACAATGAAAGTACACCAAATAAAAAAAGAAGATTATGAAAGTAGCATCAGATTAAACTTTTATGAACTTAGCACTTTCATAAACGGCAATAAAAAATACTTCATTGGTTCCCTTGAATTCAACAAAATTGGGCTTAATGATGAACTATCTCCTTTAAGCAGATATATCAGCGGTTCCATAAAAGTTCAAAACAAGCTACAGTTTGAAGACGTTTATTCTGAAGAAGATCAAGAAGCTGCTTGTTCAAGTGTAAAACGTTAACGTTTTTTCGTTATTGCATTGAATATTCTTTTGTTTTAAACAAGTTTGTATTTTAGTTTTCCCTATTCACTGTTTTGGTTTTAACATGCATATTATGCCTAATATTGTATTATTTTGCCGTATCAAATTAAAAAATCATTCCTCTGCTTATCTCGTCATTCCTCTGCATATCGTTTTTACATAAACAAGTCAATTCTGGCTAGAAAATAATTGAACTGTTTGATCTTGAACGTTGCAAGGTTCATTTTGAACAAAAGTTCGTGTTTGTGGTGTATTAAAAAACAAAATTTGGAACAAAAAAACTATTTTCAAATTACCATGTGAAAAATGATAGTTTCTGTATAATCACCCTATAACGTCGAGGTATAATGATGTTTGTTATAAAGAATTTGCAGAAAACGAGTCTTTAATGAAAATTTGTCAATTTGCGAAACGTCAAAAAAATCTAAATTTAAATAAATCATAACAACCTTATTTTGAGAAATTAAAAAATTATTTATGTCTTAATTCAAAGCTAAGAGACACTATTTTTGGATAATGTTTAAAAATAATAGGGTTTATTATAAATAATTTCCAGAAAAACAATTTTATCGAAAAACCCGTTTTTCTGCAATTTCAATAAATGCACAAATTTAAAAAATTCGCATTGATCTTATTTTAAGGAGTTGGAACGTGATGTATATCTTAAATTAAAGCTAAAAGACTCTATTTTATGATAAAGCCGAGATATAATGTGGTTTGTTATAAAGAATTTGCAGAAAACGAGCCTTGAATGAAAATTTGTCAATTTGCGAAATGCCAAAAAAATCTAAATTTAAATAAATCATAACGACCTTATTTTGAGGAATTAAAAAATGATTTATATCTTAATTTAAAGCTAAGAGACACTATTTTTTGATAAGGTTTAAAAATCATAAGGTTTATTATAAATAATTTATTTTGTGGAAATAAGCAAAACGAAAAAGTTCATCTCTATTGCATGGAAAGCTTAATATACAACAAAGTCAGTCTTCAAACTTTAGTTGTTCACGAAAAGGCAACGTCTTTATCCAAAGATATAAAAACTCGTTTACTAGATGACTCTTTCTAGGTGCAAGTACAACAAATTCGTGACTTTCTGGATCCTATTGTTTCAAAAGGTATTTAATCGCAAGGAATTATTTACACTTTGATGTAATGGCAGATTTGGAGAATTATAAATCAAATGGTGGATTGTGGACAAAAAGATTCTTGTGGACCAGTGTAGTAAACATGAATGCAGGTGGTTGCATGGTGGAATTCAGTTCCATGTGTAGCAGCTCCAATCTGAGTGAGGTTGCTGTTAGGATCTTATCAGCCCCAGTGTCTTCAGCACATTTTCGTAGATACATAGCAAGAAAAAGAATAGGCTGGAAAAATTACTTTTATTCGTTCTGGTATGTTTCAACCGCCAGCCTTTGTCACTATCTACTTGGTCTTTGTAAGAACACCTTTTCCGCCTCAGTTTTCTACTTTGTAAAGCTTACGTCTTTTANAGTACAAATTTAAAAAATTTGCATTGACCTTATTTTAAGGAGTTGGAACGTGATTTATATCTTAAATTAAAGCTAAAAGACTCTATTTTATTATAACGTCGAGGTATAATGAGGTTTGTTATAAAGAATTTGCAGAAAACGAGTCTTTAATGAAAATTTGTCAATTTGCGAAATGTCAAAAAAATCTAAATTTAAATAAATCATAACGACCTTATTTTGAGGAATTAAAAAATGATTTATGTCTTAATTTAAAGCTAAGAGACACTATTTTTGGATAATGTTTAAAAATAATAGGGTTTATTATAAATAATTTCCAGAAAACCAGTTTAATCGAAAAACCGGTTTTTCTGCAATTTCAGTAAGTGTAAATTTAAAAAATTCGCATTGAGCTTATTTTAAGGAGTTGGAACGTGATTTATATCTTAAATTAAAGCTAAAAGACTCTATTTTATTATAACGTCGAGGTATAATGAGGTTTGTTATAAAAAATTTGCAGAAAACGAGTCTTTAATGAAAATCTGTCAATTTGCGAAATGTAAAAAAAATCTAAATTTAAATAAATCGTAACAACCTTATTTTGAGGAATTAAAATATTATTTATGTTTTAATTTAAAGCTAAGAGACTCTATTTTTGGATA